AAGGTCTCGAACCCACAACATTTGGCTCAGAGGCCTATGCTCTACCAACTGAGCTGTCGCCACTAACCAAAATGTATTCACTAAAAAAACACAAATAATGCTTATTTTTATTAATGGCAAGTTTTTTTCTTTGCTTGAATGTAGTTTGTTATTATTATTTTACTAGTTTTAAGTTGCCCTGCCGCCCTGAGGTATTTAAACGGCCCAGTCTCGTTCACGCCCCCGAGTTTTAGAAGGAACAGCAGAGAGTATTTTCATTGATTGTCATGTTTGCGATTAGTTATAGCATTTAGATAGATTTTTATTAGCATAGCTGTTTGTATATAGATACTGTGTGTACTTTGTGTAGCGTTGTTGTTAAATAATGTGGTTTTAGTCACTATTGTCAAGTGTCAATCACAGCCTAGACCCGCCCAACATTCACCCCCTGCCTGTCCCCTTTAGTCCTCCAGGCTACGCCCATTTGGAGGGAGATTTGAACAGGAAATGTGAGTGACGTAAGCCTCAGGGAGCGGGGGTGAGAAGTTCTTTAACTCTGTCACCTCTAGTGTTTTGAATGTTCTGGATACAGTTGCCCCTGTGAAGGTTAAAATAGTGAAAAATAAGCAGAAGGCGCCGTGGGCTAAAGCAGACTCGGTCAGGGCACAAAAGAGAGAGTGCCGGAGGGCCGAGCGGAAGTGGCGCAAGTCCAACCTCCAGGTTGATTACGAGATCTTCAAAGATAAGTTGTGCAAGTTTAACCGGGTGCTACGTAGTACGAGAGAAAGGTATTTTTCTGAAATGATTGAAGGCTGCAGCAACAATCTGCGTGTTCTGTTTTCAACAGTTAATAGATTAACAAACCCCCCTGTTCAGATGCCATTAGAGCTAACTTCCAACGGAAATGTAATGAGTTTGCAATTTTTTTCAATGACAAGGTTCAAGGCATCAAAAACGCCATTGTCTCCAATCCACAGATAACCATCCAACAGCCGGAAAGGCTCTTTGAGCTAACTCACTTTGCACCTGTGAAGGTTCGTTTAAAACAGAACACATGGCTGGGTCGGAAAGGGCGTTTTCAGAAGTTTTTAATTAAAAACTCTCAGTAGAAAAACAGTGGGAAATTACAAAAACCATATTTACAGAGCACAGTGAAAAGACTATCGGCAAAAAGGATATTTACAATAAATATGCACGACTTCAACACTAAGTCTCTTTTTCCATAGCTTTACACTCAAGCTCCTGCAGTCCACATTACCTTCTCTGTAATGAGTCACGACTCCCATGGGGCAGACAAGCACACCTTTTGTACCCTGCTGGCCCCTCCCACATTACAAATCAATCATCGAATAAAACATCATATCTACACTACATGAATATTTCCTTATGTTCATGATTTCATAATACAGTTCCGCATTTACCATAAAATACATTATGAGCTACACACTGCAAAGAGTCCAAATGTCCATGCAAATGAGCTGTGGTCACATGACCCACAGACAGGTGCATTTAATCCACGGGCTCCTTATGTCCGGGTTTGCCAAACCGCACCATGGAGACGCCACGACCACGCCAGCACAGGCGAGTGAATGACACATGTTTAACACACCATGCAACGCTTCCAAGTGTGCACCCTGAAGACGCGTTCACGCACGCTACATGTCACAAACACAGTCCCTAGCAGTAGTCAATGAATGGGCTTGGCCGTTGCGCGCAGCCACCATGGCACCGGGCGCGCGCATCTTCACATGCGCTCCGTGGGACAGCGTGCTCAGGGACGGGCTCACCCCGTCACAGCACCTGTAAATGATCAAACTGTCCAAGAGATAATCTCCAGTCTGAGCTCCTCCACATGCAGCCTGGATGTACTACCCACTAGATTTCTGAAGTCTGTTCTGAGCAGTCTGTTACCTTCACTCACACAGATAGTAAACATGTCCCTTCATTCTGGAATATTCCCAAAGGCCCTGAAAACTGCAGTCATCAGGCCCCTGCTAAATAAGAGCAGTCTGGATGCTACGGTACTTAAAAACTATCGTCCCATCTCAAATCTGCCATTTATGGGGAAAGTCCTTGAGAAAGTTGTCTACCTACAGCTTACTAGATTTCTTATAATCAACAACTCATTTGATATGTTTCAGTCCGGCTTTAGACCCCACCACAGCACTGAGACTGCTCTCGTCAAGGTTACAAATGATATCCGGCTGAACACTGACGCAGGCAAAGTCTCAATCTTAATCCTGTTAGATCTAAGTGCTGCCTTTGACACCGTCGACCATGAGATCCTCTTACAGAGATTAGAGGACTGGGTTGGCGTCGCTGGCACCGCCCTAAGTTGGTTTAGGTCTTACCTTGAAGACAGGAAGTACTTTGTGGAGATTGGAAACTGTGTCTCAGATCATATGGCCCTGACCTGTGGAGTACCACAGGGGTCGATCCTGGGACCTCTTCTGTTCAATCTCTACATGCTGCCGTTAGGTCAGTTAATACGCAGAAACAAAGTGTCCTATCATAACTATGCAGACGACACTCAGATCTATGTCTCACTGACTGCAGGAGAACATGGACCAGTGGACTCACTCCTTCACTGTATCCAACAGATCAGAGAGTGGATGCAAAACAACTTCCTTCAGCTAAACGCAGACAAAACTGAAATGATTGTCTTTGGTCCCCAGAAACAAAGAGAGAGCGTCATCTGTCACCTACAGTCTCTCTCCCTAAAACCTTCAAACAAGGTCAGAAATCTAGGGGTAATACTGGACTCAGACCTACATTTTAATAGCCACATCAAATCAGTAACATCAGCAGCTTTTTACCATCTAAAAAACATTGCCAGGATCAAAAACATAGTGTCTAAAGCAGACTTGGAGATTCTTATCCATGCATTTGTCTCCAGTAGGTTAGACTACTGCAATGGCCTGCTCACAGGTCTGTCCAAACAGGCTGTAAAACAGCTGCAGTACATTCAAAATGCAGCAGCTCGAGTCCTGACTAGAACCAGGAAGTACGACCATATTAGTCCTGACTAGAACCAGGAAGTACGACCACATTAGTCCTGACGAGAACCAGGAACTAAGACCACATTAGTCCAGTCCTCAGGTCTCTGCACTGGCTTCCTGTGGCTCAGAGAATAGACTTTAAAACAGCTCTGCTTGTTACAAGTCTCTCCATGGCCTCGTAACAAAATATATTAGTGACATGTTAGTCCCATATGAACCAGCCCGGACTCTGAGGAGCACAGGAACTGGACTCCTGCCGGGACTCTGAGGAGCACAGGGACTGGACTCCTGCTGGGACTCTGAGGAGCACAGGGACTGGACTCCTGTTAGTGCCCAGAGTCAGAACTAAACATGGGGAGGCTGCGTTTCAGATTCATGCTGCTAAAATCTGGAACAGTCTTCCTGAAGATGTGAGACAGGCCTCCTCTCTGACAATGTTTAAAACCAGGTTAAAGACAGTTCTGTTTAGCTGTGCTACAACTGAGGGATTTTATATTTTTTATCTTTTTAATGTTCTGTGATTATTTATGATTTTAATGCAATTTTGTTTTGTTCAGCACTTTGAGTTGCCTTTTGTGCTATACAGATAAACTTGCCTTGCTTTGCCTATGCCTCCAACACTTGTTAGAAGATTTTTTTTGAAGAAGGTGCGAAAATTCCAAAGAACTCCTCGAATCCAAATTTATTTTTATTTTTTAACTGAAAAAACTACAAAGAATTACAACCAAGCAAAGCAAAAGACCACATCTCATTGCACCAGTGTTATTTCTTCTGGTAAACTACAATCCAGTGCCGGTGAATAAATCCGTCAAATACAGTTGTCTGACTTCAATGGAAAAGCGTTTTTAGAAATCGTTCCATTTCTCAAAAGAACTCTGGATCCAGACAGTGATCGAATCATTTTTAATTTATTTAATTATTCAAGCAAATAATGTTTCCAAGACCACAAAAAGAGAAAAAACCATTATAAAAATAACACATAGAATACTTACACACTGATGCTTGAATGGGGAGATGTATTATTTATTTGAAACCCTGATCTCTGAGGAATAAAGTCAATAATAGTTGTTTTTTTGTTGGAATGATTCAAATACAATAGATTTATATATGTATTGCATCATTCAGAAATCCTGTTATAATCTGTCACTTGTTCCTGGTTCAAATTCTGATGATTTTCTGAATTTTGATAAATATCTGATCGTAACTTGTTCGTTGTTTGATAACAGAACGTACACTTCTAAATTCCTCTAAGATATTTGTACAATACATTATGGTCTTGCTTTCCTCTTGAACTCCTGAATCGTGTTTTCAGGACTGAATACTGAAGTTACAGTGACCAGACTTTCTCGCCAAACTCCACTGTGTGAGACAAGCGTTTCCAGGTACAGACTTCTGCTGCTTTTTCTCTGATGTGCGTC